TACCATTTGATCCAGCAATTCCACTACTGGGTATCTACCCACAGGAAAAGAAATCATTATACAAAAAAGATACGTGTACACACGTGTTTATGGCAGCACGATTCACAATTGCAAAGATGTGGAACTAACCCAAATGCCCATCAATCAATGAGTGGACAAAGAAACTGTGGTGTATATATACAATAGAATACCACTCATTCATAAAAAGGAATTAATGGCATTCACGGCAACCTGGATGGGACTGGAGACTATTATTCTAAGTGAAGTAACTCAGGAATGAAAAACCAAACATCGTATGTTCTCATTCACAAGTGGGAGCTAAGCTATGAGGATGCAAAGGCATAAGAAGGACATAGCGGACTTTGGGAACTCAAGTGGAAGGGATGGGAAGGGGGTGAGGGATAAAAGAGTACAAATTGGGTTCAGTGTATACTGCTTGGGTGATGGGTGCACCAAAATCTCACAAATAACCACTAAAGAACTACTCATATAGCCAAATACCACCTGTTACACAAAATAGATGAAAATAATTTTTTTAAATCATTACTGTAGAGTAATAAATGAGCTGGGGGAAAAAATGCAGAATAATCAGATGTTGACAACCGAACTAAGTAAGGTAAGGGCTAAGGAAGTGAAGAAAGAGTAAATTGCAGAAATATTTAGGGAGTAGAATTAGTAGGACCTAGTAATCAATTGGAGCTTGTCAGGCTATGAGTTCTGTGAAGACACAGGATTGATTTCTTGTCATAATTATATCTTCCAGTACAATGTATCCAGGTTTACGATTAATGAATGGATAAATGAATAAAAAAGAAAAAGTCCAAGGTTACCTCCAGTTTTTAGTGTGGATATCTGATGTTACTGATACTTGTACCACTGTGTGGGCATGAACAGAGGAGCAGGCTTGGAAAGAGAAAGATAAGTTCTATTTAGCAAATAGGGAGTTTGTGGCATCTGCTGGATAGCCAAGTGGATATGTCTAATATGCTTAGATTATGAGTCCAAAACTTGATTTAAAAAAAAAAAAAAGGTTGCATACAAGTGTTAGTTAATATTCTGCAAAAGAACTTTAAAAATTAGAGAGACTCCATTTCCCTGATTCTCACGGGAAAAAAAAAATCAGTAAGACTATGTAGAAAGGCAACAAAAGTGACTCATGAACACACTCCCAGAGAATATGAATGTTATTGAGTAAATAGAGATAGAAGAGCCCTAAAAGAAGACTAAGAAATAACAAACAGGTAGTAAGAGAATTAGATACCACCATTACTGCAACTAGTAATAACGCTAATTATAATAGCAACAATAATCACAACAGTAATAGCAGCAGTAACGATGATGGTAGTTATGGTTAAGATGAATAACTATATGCCAGAGAAAACACCAAGGGCTTGAGAATGATTATCTCATTTGCTCCCGAAAACCACCATGTAAAGTAGATTTTCTTTTTTTTTTTTTGAGACGGAGTTTCACTCTTGTTACCCAGGCTGGAGTGCAATGGCGCGATCTCGGCTCACCGCAACCTCCGCCTCCTGGGTTTAGGCAATTCTCCTGCCTCAACCTCCTGAGTAGCTGGGATTACAGGCACGCGCCACCATGCCCAGCTAATTTTTTGTATTTTTAGTAGAGACGGGGTTTCCCCATGTTGACCAGGATGGTCTCGATCTCTTGACCTTGTGATCCACCCGCCTCGGCCTCCCAAAGTGCTGGGATTACAGGCTTGAGCCACCGCGCCCGGCCTGTCAAGTAGATTTTCTTATCTTCATCTCCCAGATAGGAAAGTAAGCGACAGTGAGTACATTGCCCCATGCTATGTAACCAGTAAGTGGCAGAGCTGGGATTCCAAACTCTAAAATCCAAGTAATTACTATATTGTGATGTCATTTATTCTTTGGAGATAATGAATTCTAGGACTCTTATTCTTCTTTCAAAAGAAGGTCTTATTATCAGATCTTACAGTGAATACTGTGATGACAAAATGCATCTACTGAATATCTAGGTAAATGTAAAATGGCATTTTAAAATAAATACATTGCCAATATTTTTGCTATAAATGATATGTATATCCCACAATACATTGCTATTCCTTCAGCTTCAAATATATTTAAGTATAGGTAAAATATATTTAATGCAAAAAAATAACAACATATTATAGAAGTAGCATATATGGTAACAAGAACACAAAAGACCAGAGTAAATGGAGTTACATGGTTATAAGAGGCTTACATTATTTATTTAATAGCAAAACATTATTCTAGTTAGTGATAAGTTAAAGATGAATATTGTAATCTCTAGAATGCCCACTAAAAATAATGCTAAATAGGTATAGCTAAAAATGACGATAGATGAGGTAGAATGGCATATTTTAAATTACTATATATTACCTAAAAGAAGGCAAGAAAACTGAAACAGAGAAACAAAGAATAGAAAATAAATAATGAAATAGGACACTGACCAAAAATTGAAAACAACCTAACATCTGTTGTAACAGCTATCCATCGCTGCATCACAAATTACTCAAAAACTAAGTGAATCGAAACAACATTTATTACCTCAATTTCTGTGGGTAAAACATCTCAGCAAAAAGCAGCAGTAACTTCTCTCATAAGGTTCCAGTAAAGGTGCTGATTGGATTTGCAGATCATCTCAACGCTCTACCTGGAGAAGGATCTACTTCCAAATCTGCTTACATGGTTGTTGGAAAGATTCAATTTTTCACAGACTGTTAGACTGACGGCCTGAGTTCTCCACTGACAGGAGAGTTCTCCACTGGCTGGAGGTCTTCTTCAGTTCCTTGTCATATGGACACCATGACAGCTTGCTTTATCAGAACAAGCAAGCAAGAAGAACCACAGAGAAAAAGAGACATGGAAGTCAAATTTTTATATCCAAATCTTGGAAGTGACATGCATGACATTTGCCATATTCTATTTATTAGAAGAGAGTCACTAGGTTGAACCCATCCTCAAAGGGAGGAGATTACACAAAGACGGGAATACCAGAAGGTGAGGATCACTGGAAGCCATGACAGAGGCTGCCTACCACATCCGTCAGTAAGAAAATTTTTAAATTGTAACATTTTCACTCAATGGAATCAGTTTTTTTTTAAGCCACCAATATCACAGCAATGAGCCTCAAAAATTTTAGCCACCAATATCACAGCAATGATCCTCAAAAATTTTACTCAATAACGTTGAGCAAAATATGAATTCCCAAAACAGGCAAAATTAATCTGCAATGATAGAAATGAGAACATTGCTTAACTCTGAGGGTTTGAAAGATGTCTTCATTTGTTTGTACTGCTATAATAAAATACCACAGAGTGAGTAATTTATAATAAACAGAAACTTATTGGCTCTCAGTTCTGGAGGCTCAGAAGTCCAATATCAAGGTGCCAACATCTGGCGAGGACTTTCTTGCTGCATCACCACATGGCAGAAGGGCAAGAGAAGGAGAGAGTGCATGACAGCATCAACCCGTTTGTGTTTTAATCACCTCTTAAAGGTTCCACTTCTTAATACTGTTACAAGGGCAAATACATTTCAACATGTTTTGGAGAGACCAAACATTCAAACCATAGCAAAACGTATTGCCTGGTAAGAAGCACAAGGAAAAGTTCTTAGGTGCTGGAAGTATTCTGTCTTGTTTTGTCTAAACTCATTGACCTGAACATGTAATGTTTGTGCAGTTTATTGTATGTAAACGCTATGCCCATAAAGATAGTAATGAAGAAAAAGAAAAAAAATATTTAAAAAGTAATCTGGTTTTATTTCTTACAAATAAAAGTAATGCCAACATTCTGAACTTTTTTGATCAACGCTAAATAAAACATATCAGTCTAATATCATCTTCTGCCAACCCAAGAATCCAGACATGGTGAAGGAATAAATGGGAAAGACACTGAATCACCAGAAATAAAACTATTAAAAATGGAATCAGTTTGCATGATATAATGTCTGACTAAAATATAGGAATGGAAGAAAGGCGTCCCATTTTCACTAATAATAAAATAAACCTAAGATTAGTCAACTACCAAGTATTACATAATGCTATTTTTCTCTAACCTTTTCTTATTTAAAAAAAAAAAAATCAAAATTACATGGTACAAAGAAGCTCTTTGTAGAAAAGTTTCCAAAAACAGGATGAGAATTTTTATTCTCTAAACCTTAAAGGAATAATGGTTTATTCTATTGTTTTTGTTTTATTCTTAAATATTTATTCTTTAACCATTTTTCTTTTCTTCTTCCTTTTTCATTGCTCCTCTTTATCACTTTATCACATGTCAGAATTCTTGACTTCCTCAACGCAAAATATTGTTTATGAATTAAAATATTTACTTGGTGGAAGAAAAACAAAATGAACAGATAAAAAGCAATAGGAGAGCTCTGTACAAAATAGAAGTTATAGTTTTTTCTCTCTTACATAGTATTCCAAGCATAAGGAGGTGGCAGTTTCACAGTGTCAAGAATCCAGATTTTCTACCTAGCTCTAGGATTACTATTAGTAGTATTATCTCTAGGATTACCATTCAGGGTTGATAGGTGCAGCAAAACACCGTGGCACATGTATACCTATGTAAAAAACCTGCACATTCTGCACGTGTATCCCGGAACTTAAAGTAAAATTTTTATTTATTTTATTTTTTTATTTTTATTTTTATTTTTCTATAAAGATGGGGTTTCACCATGTTGGCCAGGCTGGTCTCAAACTCCTGACCTCAGGTGATCTGCCCACCTTGGCCTCCCAAAGGGCTGGGATTACAGGTGTGAGCCATCACACCTAGCCAAAGTAAAATTTTTAAAAAAGAAATTAGTCCAATAGACACACCTATATTTGGCTGTGAAATCTACAACTTGGCAAGCCTTGTTCACAGAGATACGGTCCTTAAGCAGGCAGTCTTATGTCCATGTGAAAATTCTTACTAAAGAAGAATAAAACATACAGTGGACAGTGCTGGCATTATTTTATTACTTCTTAAGAATACAGATACTGCAGCCGATACCTGAATGCTGAGCGCGAGCCGGCGGAGATGAACCCTTTAACTAAGGTGAAGCTGATCAACGAGCTGAATGAACGAGAGGTCCAGCTTGGGGTGGCCGATAAGGCGTCCTGGCACTCTGAGTACAAGGACAGCGCCTGGATCTTCCTGGGAGGGCTTCCTTATGAACTGACTGAAGGGGACATCATCTGTGTGTTCTCACACTATGGGGAGATTGTTAACATTAACCTTGTGCGGGACAAGAAGACTGGGAAATCCAAAGGATTTTGTTTTCTCTGCTATGAAGACCAGAGGAGCACAATTCTGGCCGTTGACAATTTTCATGGGATCAAGATCAAAGGAAGAACTATCCGAGTGGATCATGTGTCTAACTATCGGGCTCCTACGGACTCAGAAGAAATGGATGATGTGACCAGAGAGCTCCAGGAGAAGGGCTGTGGAGCTTGTGCCCCCTCACCAAGTTTGTCTAAGAGCTCTGAAGATGAAAAACCAACAAAGAAGCACAAAAAAGACAAAAAGGAAAAGAAGAAAAGAAGGAAAGAAAAAGAGAAAACTGACCGGGCGGAACAGGCAGAGCAACTGTCCTCTTCGTCACCCAGAAGTAAGACAGTAAAGGAAAAGGATGACCCTGGCCCTAAGAGGCACAGCAGCAAGAACTCGGAGAGAGCTCAGAAGTCAGAGCTCAGGGAGAGGCGGAAGCTCCCCAAGGCCAGGACTGCCTACTCTGGTGGAGCAGAGAACCTAGAGAGGGAGCTGAAGAAGGAGAAACCCAAGCACAAGCACAAGTCCTCAACCAGGAGGGAGGCAAGAGAAGAAAAGACCAGGGATAGGGACAGAGGGCGGAGCTCAGACACACATTCTAGCCGGCACAACCGGCGTTCCGAAGGGCGTAGTCATAGAAGTAGAAGTAGGAGCCGAGATAAATCCCATAGGCATAAAAGGTCCCATCGATCCCGGCAGTGGGAGTCTTCCAATCCCAGTGACCATAGGCGTCACTGAGGACTGTTTGGCTGCTCAGTAGATTTGGAAATAATTATGTTTTTTAAATGCAGTCAAATTCAGTTGGGTTGTTACTATTTTTGTATCTAAAACTTCTGGGGCTGGTTTCTTTGAATCCCTTGAGTTATTAGAGTCATTGAGAGAGCTGCAGTTTAAACAGCTAGTTTTCTTGGATATTCTTCACACCATCTATTGTCCCTGTACCAACGTATGTATCCTGAATTTTGGTTCATAAATATGGCTCTTGAGCCCATAGACCCCAGTTGAAGATGGAATTTTCAGGAAAGGGAAGATACCAGATAATTCTAGAAATCTAGTCTTTGTGTTTGATGTTTAGAGCCCAGCATCATGGGACCTTTCCAGTTACTAGATATGGACAGCTTGATGTGAATGACTGGGATAGGATTTCTAAGTTCAGCCAGGTCCATCCCCAACCTCCTGTTTAAAAAATTTTTAATATCTTTACTTTTTCATTAAAACTTTTTTGTTTGAAAAAATAAAAAAAGTACAGATACTCCATAAGACTGATCCTTTGGAAGCAAACATCATTTATAATAGAATGCAAGAAGTTTGCAGGTCAGGTGTGATCACTCAAGCTTGTAATCCCAGCACTTTGAGAGGCAGAGGTAGGCGGATCACTTGAAGCCACAGAATTGGAGACCAGCTTGAGCAACATGGCGAAACTCCATCTCTACAAAAATTAGCCGGGCATGATGGCATGTGCCTGTAGTTCCAGCTACTAGGGAAGCTTTGGTGGGAGGATCACTTGATCCTGGGAGGCAGAAGTTACAGTGAGCATAGATCACACTACTGCACTCCAGTCTGGGTGACAGAGTGAAACCCTGTCTAAAAAAAGAATTTGGACTGCCATTCAAATACAGCAAAGAAAAACACCTGTTCACCCTCACTGCCACCCAAAATCTCATTAAAATGGTGGTAAAGAAATGTAAAATGGAGGCCAGGTGCAGTGGCTCATGCCTGTTATCCCAATATTTTGGGAGACTGAGGCAGGAGGATGACTTGAGGTCAGGAGTTCAAGACCAACCAGAGCATCACTGTGAGACCCTGTCTCTCTACAAAAAAAAAAAATAATTAATTACCTGGCATGGTCCCAGCTACTCAGAAGGCTGAGGTAGAAGGATTACTTGAGCCCAGGAGTTCAAGGCTGCAGTGAACTATGATCACACCATTGTACTCCAGCCTGAACAACAAAGCAAGACCCTGTCTCAGAAAAAAACAAGAAAGAAATAAAGAAAGAAAGAAGAAAGAAAGAAGGAAAGAAAGGAAAGAAAGGAAAGGAAAGGAAAGGAAAGGAAAGGAAAGGAAAGGAAAGGAAAGAGAAATTAGGCTGCGCATGGTGGCTCATGCCTAGAGTCCCAGCACTTTGGGAGGCCGAGGCAGGTGGATCACCTGAGGTCAGCAGCTCGAGACCAGCCTGGCCAACATGGTGAAATCCCATCTCTACTAAAAATACAAAAATTAGCCAGGGAGGTGGAACATGCCTGTAATCCCAGCTACTCGGAAGTCTGAGAACAGGAGAATCACTTGAACCCAAAAGGCGGAGGTTGCAATGAACCAAGATTGTGCCACTGCACATGGGTGACACAGCAGGAATCTGTTTTAAAAAAAAAAAAGAAGAAGAAGAAAAAAGGAAAATGAAAAAGAGAAGAGATAATAGCCACCAAGAGATGTCAACAAAATAGACACATAATAATTGATTTAGCAGACTAGAGGAAGCTGAAACTAAAGGATTGCAGTAGGGGTGAAGATAGGGGATGCCAAGAAGCACATAGAGTTGGCTGCTGCCAAGTTCCTGAAAGGCCCAGAAATTAGAGCTGCAAGTTGTATCTGAATATGGCAAGCAGATAAGGCTAAAATCGGGAGAACTGGTTGATAGTTTGCATAAGTTGATAGCTTGCACAGTTCAACCAGTACATCTCCTCTCACCTGCACAGCCAGGTAACTGATCTTCCTTCTTCTGCAGAAGGCTTGACATTATTTTCAGGGCAGATTAAATCAGAAAAATCTCTAGACTCTAGGATAGTAGGTTTGGAGGCATGATTGAGGTACTTTACTGGCAACATAGAGATCAAGTCCAAGTCTGAATTCTAAACAATGAGACTTACCAATCCCAGCACCCAGATCACTCCATCACCATGATCCTGAGATGAAAGTGGAGGATTCCCCTCTAGAGAGAGTTACTACCCCCAGAAAAGAAGGCCAACAGTTACTGCCCAGAACAAAAAACAGATTACATTTTACCTTTTCATTCATAATCCATTTTGAGTTAATGTTTGAATAAGGTGTGAGATTTAGGTCTTGACTCATTTTTTTTGCTTACGGATGCCTGATTTTTCCAGCATCGTTTGTTGAATGTCTGTTCCTCCTGAAATGTTTCACCTGTGTCAAAAAGTAGTTGGGCATAATTGTGCGGGTCTATTCTGGATTTTAAAATCTGTTCTACTGATCTGTGTCTATCCCTCTGCCAGTACACATTGTCTTCATTACTATCACTTAGAGTATGCCCTAACGTCAGGTAGAATGAGTCTTCTTTCTCTCACCTTTTCAAGATTGTTCTACCTATTTTGGAACTTGTGCCTTTCCATATCAATGTTAGTATAAACTTGTCTAGGCCTACAAACATCCTAATTTTTAAATTAATTAAAATGTAAATAATGGCTAGGCATGGTGGCTCACACCTGTAATCCTAGCACTTTTGGAAGTTGAGGTAGGAGGAGTGCTTCACTGCCTTCCAGCCTGGGCAACAGAATAAGACCCTATCTCTTAAATTTAAAAAAAAAAAAAAAAGTATCAAATTTTAAACAACTGTCTAGAGAATATAACTTCAGTAATTTATTTGTCTTTTTAAATTATTTTTGAGATATATAGTATAAGTCAGTTTAATGCACATGAGTAGACCATTGATGTACTTCTTGGCAAGCAACTTAAAAAGTTCAGTAGGTCATAAAGTATTTATATTACTTCAGATAAGGCAATTAAGGCAGAAAGGAGGTGAAATCACCATTTGTTTTTAAACTTGTGCATATCGTGGAAGTGTTTTACTATGAATATACAACTCAGTCAAACAATAAGAAAGTTATAATCAATCTACTAGATGAGTCAACAAATAGCATGAGCAGGTAATTTCACAACAAAGATATAAAGGAAGATGCTCAAACTCTCTAGTAAGCATAGAAATGCAAATTAAAAACCACAGGAGACCATTTGATCGGGGGAAGGGTCTTTCAAAATGTTAAACATGTACAACTTGAACCTACAACTCTACTTCTAGGAATAATTTACTATATCAAAATACTTAGGTGCTTATAGGCACTTAATATATAACTGAGGATATCCATGTTAGCATTGTTTATAATAGAGAAAAAATGCAAACAACTTAAGTTCAGAAATACAGTACTCACCAAGTTAATTGTGGTTAAGCCATATCATATAATACTGTATAGTCTTTTTAAAAATGGAGTTTCTTTCTTTCTTGCTTGCTCTTTCTTTCTTTCTTTCTTTCTTTCCTTTTCTTTCTTTCTTTCTTTCTTTCTTTCTTTCTTTCTTTCTTTCTTTCTTTCTTTCTTTCTCTTTCTTTCTTCCTTCCTTCCTTCCTTCCCTCCTTCCTTCCTTCCTTTCTTCCTTTTTTCCTTCCTTCCTTTCTTTTTTTTTTAACAGTCTCACTCTGTAGCCCAGGTTGGAGTGCAATGGTGTGATCTCAGCTCTGCAATCTCCGCCTCCCCAGTTGAAGCCGTTATCCCTGCCTCAACCTCTCAAGCAGCTGGGATTACAGGCACCCGCCACCATGCCGCACTAATTTTTGTATTTTTTTTCTTTTTTAGTAGAAATGTGGTTTTGCTACGTTGGCCAGTCTGGTCTCAAACTCCTGACCTCAGGTGATCCACCCACCTTGGCCTCCCAGAGTGCTGGGATTGCAGGCATGAGCCACTGCACCCAGCTGGGAGCCTTATGTGTATTAATATAAAAAGATCTCTAAAATATATTGGATAAATAAAAAAGCATGCCTCAAAGTAACATGTATAAAACTAAAAATATGTAAAAAGGCACATCTACAAATGTGTGTATAGATGTGTAGAAAGGAAAAGTCACAGCCAGGTCTGGAAGGACACACAAATCTAACTGTTACCAGAGGCTATCTATGGTGAGGGAATGAGACTGGGGGTAGACTGGGGAGAGTGAGGATTAGAAAAGAGTTGTTTTCAGATTTTCTTTAAATATATCTGTGTTGTTTTAAAATTATTTTTACAGGCCAGGCGCGGTGGCTCAAGCCTGTAATCCCAGCACTGTGGGAGGCCGAGGCTGGTGGATCACGAGGTCAAGAGATCGAGACCATCCTGGTCAACACGGTGAAACCCCGTCTCTACTAAAAATACAAAAAATTAGCTGGACATGGTGGCGCATGCCTGTAGTCCCAGCTACTCAGGAGGCTGAGGCAGGAGAATTGCCTGAACCCGGGAGGCGGAGGTTGCGGTGAGCCGAGATAGCGCCATTGCACTCCAGCCTGGGTAACA